CTTTCCCCCTGCCCCTCTCTGATCAAATTTTAAAAAAAATAATAACAAAAGGAATGAAAAAAATAAATATTTCTTTAAAAAAAAAAAAAGGAATCTTTACGAATGGTTTTCTAGGGCCGTCCTAACAAACAACCACTAACTAGATGGTGTTAACAGAAATTAGTTCTCACATTTCTGGATGCCAGCAGTTCAAAATGAAGTTGTCAGCAGGGTTGAGCCCTCAGAGGTTGAGGGAGGATCTGTTCATGCCCCTCTCTTTGCCTCTCGTGGCCAGAAATCCTTGGCATTCTTTGGCTTGTAGACACGTCGCTCCAGCCCCTGCCTCTGCTGCCACCGGGGTTTTTCCTATGTCTGTGTCCTTATGTCCTTACATGGCCATTAGGACACTGCTCATACTGGTCAGGGGCCCATCCTAATCAAGGATCTAAAGACCTTTACAAAGACCCTCTTTCTAGGGTCCAGCAGATGGTGTAATGTTACATCGCTGGATTTCCACATAGTCCACCACAGTTCGAGTCCCAGACCTGATAGCTTAAAACTCATGCTGGGCGCATGTGCGTGCAAGCCCAAAATCTCAAGAGGAGAATGGAGGAGAAGGAATTGCGTGGTCATCCCCCTGGGGGGCGATTTCTCACTCTTCTGTCTCTCTGTCTTTCTCTGTCTCTCTGGCGAGTGCATGTGCTATATAGCAAAAATCTCTAAAACAAACAAAACAGACTCTCTTTGCAAATGAGGTCACATTCTAACGTTCCCATTGTACATTGTCCCCCCGTTGGGGGATACTGATCAACAATTAGAGGACGTTTCGAGAAGGCTGCTCTGAGGTAGCAGATGGGTCAGAATGGCCTCTGGTCCTTGTGACAGGGACATGGAGGTGGCTGATGGGAAGAAGTCACAGGAAAGACAGAGGGAGACTCCTGGGTCTTAGCAGTAGCCCTCTGCCAGAACCCCTCCATCTATCCTTGGCCTTTGCTAACTTGCCTGTCCTTGCGGCTTCTGTGACACTCCAGGCACAAGGCCTGGCTCTGCCTCAGGGTACCCTCCTGGCCTCGCTCTGGACTCCGTGCTCCCAGGCTGTGCCCCTTTGTTCAGGAAGCCTTGCTCCCTCCCCAAGTCTGGATCGGGGTGGCCCTGCCAGGACTTGACCCCCACCTCTCTGCCGTGGTGGGTGAGAAGAGACCCTGTTGACACTGCTCACTGCTGAGCCCAGGGCCCACACAGCACAGGTTCACAGAGCCGCAGCCAGTGTCTCGGAGCATGTGGGAAAGGGTGATCCTGAGGAGGAGGTCGGGGATTTGGGAGGAAGTCGGCTGTGCGAGCAGACTAGAGTGAGGGCTCAGAGGCTGGGGCCAAGCATTTGCAGTCCAGGGATGCCCCTTGAGGTGCTGGTCCTGGGGATGCTTGGCAGTGCCCGGAGTGAGGGCTTGTGGGGACGGTGTGGGCTGGGGATGCATGCCAGCCTGGAGTGCCATGGAGAGGCCACACGGCCCATCCTGAGATTGGAGCCAGCCTTCTTCAGGGATATCTGTCACGACAAGGCTCAGGGAACGGGGAGGACGCTCGGCAGAGAGGTCTGCTCGTGCCTACCTGTGGGCAGGAGAAATGGCGGTTGTGCCAGCAGGCAGGGTTGTGGACCCAGAGGTCACCCCAGGCAGCTTAAGGACATGAAAACTGAACTCGGCCTTGAAGACGGAACCCAGTTGGAGACGGCATTACGAGCCTCAGCTGGCAAGACCCTGGCAGAGGGACCCAGGATTCAAGCTCACAGCTCTGGCCAGCTGTCCCTGCTGCCAGAGGCTCCATCCTGAGCCGAAGAAGATGCCAGACCAAGGAGCCATCTCGGGCCAGTGGGCCTGGTCTTGGTCCCAGAGGGTGACCTACTCTTGGAGCTGGGGTCAGGTGGAGTGGCGAGGCAGCAACATGGGCCCTCCTCGGGCCACCTCCAAGGCCCCGAGAGCCCGCTCCAGCTGGCGTTGGAGTCAGAGTGGCCTCTGTCCTTTTCCCTGAGGTGGTCTGTCACTGTGGCTGAGTGAATGTGCCGTGAGGCTGTGGGAGCCCTGGCTGGAGCAGCCGGAGCCTGGCTCAGGTCCCAGTGCAACAGGTGGGCGCAGGTTAACCACAGGCCAGCACAAGTGGGTAAGGGCCACCTGTCTGCTTAGTGCTGTTCTGGAACTCTCTAGACCTCTCACCCCAGGGCCGTCTGTGGCTCAGGACAAGTGTTGGACGTTGCCACGGTGCTTATATTGGAAGAGTTTCTTTGCTGGGAAAGACAGACCTTGGACAGGAGGCAGCGGGATGGACTGTGACCTAGCAAGATCCTGATGAGCTACGGGCACCGTGGACCTAGAGGAGAGCAGCTGTGTTGGAAAGGCCTTGGGAGGCCATGAGGCTGGCTTGGCCAGGAAGCGGAGGCCCAGAGGAGGATGGCGGAGTTGCCAGGCTGAGCTAGCTGGAGGTTCTCCCTGCCTGCTCTGACGTAGCCGGGGCCATAGCCCAAGGCTGTGCTTGGATCAGAGACGTGCAGCACAGAGCTGAGGATGCACCCAGGGTCTCAGAGGTGGCTTCCAGATGGCCTGGCAGTGTAGGTAGCGGTGGTACCCCCACCCTGGGCACTGCCTTCACAGAGACGAGGCCCCCAGAGCTGCGAGGTCTGGGCAGTTGCTCATGAGTAAGGTGGAAAATCTCTCTTGTGTCTCCTCAGGTTAGAAATCTGTGCTACATGGTGACAAGGCGCGAGAGAACGAAACACGCCATCTGCAAGCTCCAGGAGCAGATATTCCACCTGCAGATGAAACTTATTGAACAGGATCTGTGTCGAGGTAGGCGCCTTCCTTACCGCCAGCTCCTCCTGTGTGTGGTCTCATGGGACTGAGTCCCAAGGAGGGTGTGTCCTTCGGGACCTGGGGGGGCATGCACGTGGGACTGGTGGCCACTGGCCCTTGTCCCTTCCCTCTGTGCAGTTAGCAGGCCCAGGTCAGGCCTGCCCGCAGGGCGCTCTCTGCGTCACTGGGCCACAGCAATGTGGGAGCAGAAAGCATGTGAATAGGCTCGTACCAGAAGTCCCAGTGGCTCTGTGCCAGCGTGGAGGCAGGAAGGCCCAGAAGCCAGTGACTTCCCCAAGTGCCGGTGTGCCTCGGAGTGGATTCTGAAGAGGGTAGCTGGGGGCTGCCCAAGAAAGGGGGCCAGGCCTGTGTGTTCTCTCTGACCCTGTCTGGCAGAATTCAGGCCCTGAGCGAGCAGTGGTTTTGTCTCTGTCTTGTCTTACTCTCTTGCCATCCCGTGCACTAAGCAGATCTGGAAATCAGAAGCCCCAGAAGCTCTGACATGATCTCCTCTGTTCCTTGTGGATATTACCAGACATGGGGCCCTTCCTGGAGCATCTGCACATTAAGGGTCAAAAACTCTTGTTCCTAGGTTGAATTCACGTGCAGCAGGAGTAGCTGGATGGGAGAGGTTACAAGCCAGGGGCTGCCAAAGCTCGTTCAGCCTCGGGTCAGGCTGGTCCTGGAGTGGCAAGGCAGGGCCACGTCTGGGCTACCATTGGAGCAAATGATTGAGGACTTGGTACCGATCCCTGCCTGAGAGCTGAGCTGCCTCAGTGTGCTTCGTGATCACATCGCACGGTGGCCCAAGATCCTGGCTGCGCCAAGTGCCCGTGCTGGGTCAGGGCAGGTCTGGGCCATACAGCGTGCTCCCACAGACACGGTGCTGGTCTTCATTCTCACAGCCTGGACAGAGACAGGGAAGTGGTGGCCCAGGGGCCACAGCCAGTGCCTGCGCAGGGACCAGGGATGGCTTCAGGGAGCTATCAGGGATGGCTTCCCCGAAGTGGTGATGCTGGAGCAACATCTCAGGCTGCCCAGCGCCTCGCAGCAGTCACACACCCAGCTGCAGGAGGATTCCTTAGAAGGCGGCCACAGCCCAGGAAGCAGAGTGGCAAGGAAGAGCAGTGCCCTCAGGCCCAGGATTCCAGAAACACCACCCAGAACCCAGAGGGTCCACGTGCTCACAGTGAGCCGGGCGTGTTGGCAGCACCCGGCCCCGAGTGGCAGCAGCAGGCAGCTGTGTGCGGAGCAGGCATCTGGAGAGAAGACGGGTGTGGCCCCGCCTGAAGCAGATCCCCTCGCTGTCCTGCCGCTGGCCCTGAGAATGCAACAGGGACTATAAGCATATCACCCGGGCCTGTGTGGCCCAGGGCTGGAGGCCTCCCTGTGGAGGTGAGATGCGGGTGGAACTGGTGATGCACAGGACATGGGAATGGCTTATTTAAAGATTAGAGGCCAGAGTGTGTCTTCGTAGAGAAACTGGAAAATCTGACTTGGCTGCAATGTGGCAGGAGGAGGGCCCCTAAAGTAAGGCTGAGGGGTAACCAGGTCAGACGGGCCAGGTCTGGCGGCTTGGAGAAAGAGCTCAGGCTATCCTGAGGACAGCGGGGATCTCAGAGCTCCCCTCTAGTGTCGGGCATCGGTCCCTGAAGCCCGGCCTGGGGTTACACAGAAGTAACAGCAGAGCTAGGAAGGCTCCCTCCGCCGGGGCCACACCCTGCTCTCCAACTTGTGTGGTCCTGGACTGAAAGGATATGCGGGCCAACTGTGCACCCCAAATCTCCCATCTATTGCCTGACCTCCTAAGCTGACTGAGAGACTGAGGCAGGAGACTTGCTTGTAGGAGCTGACCGTGCTGACAGGGCTGGAGCCTAAGTCGCTTGACCCCTCAGACAGTGTGCTTTTTCACCCTCGTGTCCAGCTCCTCGGCCTGGCATTCAAGGCCCCTCCCTGTCCAAACTCACCTCCAGACATCCCTCCCACCCACCAGACTCTCTCAAGGCCTGTCGGTCCTTTGAGGTGCGCCAGCTGTCCTCTGACACCCAACTCTGACCTGGTGCTGCAGAGGGTGAGCTCTGTCTGGCTGACTCAGGACTCCTGGGCTGCCACGCGGCATTCTCGGTCCTGACCATGGCCACTCGGGGTAACCGTCTCCCTCCTCCTCTCGCTTTCCCTGGCACAGAGCGGTCTGGGAGGAGAGCAAAGGGCAAGAAGAGCGACTCGAAGAGGAAAGGCCGTGAGGGTCCCAAGGGCAGCCCCGAGAAGAAAGAGAAAGTGAAGGCGGGGCCCGACTCAGTCCTGGGGCAGCTGGGTGAGTGAGGGGCCATGGCAGCCCAGCAGACAGAGCGGGGTCACTGCTCAACCCATGCTGGACTGCGGGAACCTGAGGCCCAAGAGGTGTGACCAGGCCCTTGCTCAGGAGACTGGTCTCAGCCTCCGCCCTCCCAAGGAATTCCCTTCTGTAGACCTGGTGTAGGCCAGGCCGGCCAGCTCTGAACTGCCCACTCGTTATCCTTGCCAGGGTTCTGGGCACTAGGTTTACCCAGAGGCCCCAAGGCCAGTCCCATGCTGGGAGAGGAGGATCCACCAGAATCTGCCCAAATAGTCCCTTCTCGGAGCCACCCAGCGAGACCCAGAGGGGCAGCAGCACCCCCTCTTTAGTGTCTCAGGCCTCCTTTCTGCCCCACTGGGCAGGAAGCTCAGAGACCCAGCTTCAGGCTTGGGCTCCAACTCCCAGCGTGTCACCTGCTTCCCCAAGTATTCTTGCGGGGTAGGGAGGCCAGGACTGGAGTCCAGTTTGAGACCTCACCTCTAGCACAAAAGCCCCAGGTCATGTTTTATGTCCCTCGGTCTCAAGAAGAGACAACTTGGTTGTCTGTGGGACCCATCTTCTCCCAATACTTCAGTAAGGCAGGGAGGGCCCAAAGCTCAAGCTGGCCCTGGCAGAGGGACTCTGTCCCCAGAGAGACCATGCTGACTCCCTGTCCACATCTTTGCGTTGAAGTGCTAGGAGGCAGTGTGGAAACACAGCGCCCCCTGGTGGTCTAAGGGCGTTTTTCTGTATTTCTCCTTTTTCTTTCTTTTTCTTTTTTTTTGGCGAGATTTTTGCTACAGGGCGCGTGTGCTCCCCAGAAAGACAGAGACAGAAAGACAGAAAGCGAGAAATCACCCCCCTGGGGGATGGCCACATCGCAATCCCTTCTCCTTTTGGGATCTTGAGCACACACGCACACACACCCGGCGTGAGTTTAAGCCACCGGATCTGGGACTCAAGCCGTAGTCGACTACATGGGAGTCCAGCGATGTAGCCATTACGCCATCTGCTGGTCCCTATTTCTTCTTTCTTATCCCAGCAGAATGGAGGGTGGGGGCAGGACCAGCTTCCTGGATGGGCCCCTGTGCTCAGCACAGTGCTCTGATGTTGCTGCCTTGAAGTTCTTAATGAGATTTTTTTTAAAGAATTATTTTATTTTATTTTATTTATTCATTTATTTATTTTCATTTGACCAGAGAGAGAGAGAGAGAGAAGGAAAGTCGAAAAGCAAGCCACCAGGTCCGGGACTCAAACCTTGGTCAGCCATATGGGAGTGTCCAGTGCCTCAACCACCACACCACTTACTGGTCCCCTTTTATTTTTATTTATTTTTTTATAGCTTAATGAGATTTAAATGAGGAGCCCACATATTTATAGGGTATTCCACTCCACAAATTAAGAAGCCCATCCTGGGGACCAGCAGATGGCGTAATGGTTATGTCACTGGACTCCCATGTAGTCGGCCGCATTTCTAGTCCTGGACCTGGTGGCTTGAAACTCACACCAGGTGCATGCACGTATGTACCTAAAATCTCGAGAGGAGAATGGAGGAATAATGATTGCAGCATTGCCATCCGCCCCCCGGGGGTGGGGGTGATCTTGCTTTCTGTCTCTGGTGAGTGCACATGCTCCCCTATAGCAAAAATCTCTCTCATTTTTTTTTTTTTTTTAAAAAAAAGAAAGGAAGAAAAAGCAGCCCGTCCTGGGGGCAGACATCTTTCTGGAAGAAGGGTAGATAGTGCGGTCCCTACTCTGGTGAGGATAGCAGGAAGGATGGACAAAACAAGACAGCTTCCCAGGGTCTAGCACAGAGCGGGGGGTGCCCTCTTGCGTGCTGGGGGAGTCAGAGGGGCTGCCAGAACAAGGGGGGACACCTGCTGACAACTCACCTGCCTCCTCTCTCCTCTCGCCAGGCCTGTCCACCCCCTTCCCCATCGATGGCACCTTCTTCAACAGCTGGCTGGCACAGTCCGTGCAGATCACGGCCGAGAACATGGCCATGAGCGAGTGGTCACTGAACAATGGGCACCACGAGGACCCTGCTCCAGGGCTGCTGTCGGAGGAGCTGCTGCAGGACGAGGAGACGCTGCTCAGCTTCATGAGGGACCCCTCGCTGCGGCCCGGTGACCCCGCCAGGAAGGCCCGTGGCCGCACCCGCCTGCCTGCCAAGAAGAAACCGCCTCCACTACAAGATGGGCCGGCCTCACGGACAACTCCAGACAGACCCCCCAAGAAGCCCTGGGGCCAGGATGCAGGCAGCGGCAAAGGGGGACAAGGGCCCCCCACCAGGAAGCCCCCACGGCGGACATCTCCTCATTTACCGTCCAGCCCTACAGCTGGGGACTGTCCCATCCCAGCGGCCCCTGACAGCCCCCCACCGCTAGCCCCTGAGACCCCAAACGAAGCAGCCCCAATGGCTGCCGACTCGAATGTCCAAGTGCCTGGCCCTGCAGCGAGCCCCAAGCCCTTGGGCCGGCTCCGGCCACCCCGTGAGAGCAAAGTAACCCGGAGGTCGCCGGGCTCCAGGCCTGATGCCGGGACAGTACCGCCTTCTGCTGTGGCCGAGAGGCCCAAGGTCAGCCTGCATTTTGACACAGAGACTGACGGCTACTTCTCTGATGGGGAGATGAGCGATTCAGATGTAGAGGCGGAGGACAGCGGGGTACAGAGGGGCCCCCGGGAAGCAGGGACTGAGGAGGTGGTTCGCATGGGGGTACTGGCCTCCTAACTCAGCCCCGCCCCTGCCCTGGGCCCTGCCCTGGTTCCCCCTTCCCCCCACGAGGCCTCAGCCCAGTCACAACTGCCATTTCCAATTTTGCTGAGTGTCCCAGACCCTCGCCCCTGCCACTCTGTTGTGGTTTTATTTTTAATATCGAGAGCGTTTTTGAATTCCACACTGTTGTCTTTCCTCTGTGCTGGCCTAGGACATTAGGATTCCTTCCACGGCGCTGGCCACCGGGACCATGCCAGTCCCGTGCACCACCCCTGCCCCGGCCCACGATCTCGCTGGGCTCCTGGCTAGATGTAGGCAAGGTGAAGTCGAGCTCAGGACTCGCGCCGCTGCCACTGGGTGATACAGACTGTCGTTCGGGCATTATTTCATGGCGCATGGGCCAGCCCAGGGCCTACGCCGCCTTGCCCCCATCCCATGGGGGTATATCCATTTGGGGGGTCCTGCTGCACTCCACTGATCCCCAAGGATGTGTATAAGCGATAGGCAGCCAGAGTCTGTCTGCTCACTGTCACAAGCACAATGAGTTTATATCGGAAAGCACTGAGGTGGGGCAGAGGGCCCACTGGTTCCAGGGGACCCAAAAGCTGTTCCTGGCCAGCCCACATCTTCTGAGGCCTGCCCGCCCACCCGCCACCCACCCTCCCTTGCCGCTCTACCCCTGCCAGCGCCCAGCCCAGCATCTCTGGGAAGGAGTTCCCAGAATCCTTCTTGAGCTGTGCCATTTACTCAGGGGACTCCCAGACAGCCAGCCACCGGCGCAGGTGGAGGGCTGCGAGGGGGGCCAGTGCCCAGACGGGGGCGTGGGGCTCAGACCACCCACTACAGAGAATCTCTGGGGCTCCAACTTCCTTCCTTCGGGGCCAGTCTCGGCTGAAATCTGGTCACGCCTTGACCGGGCGGACCAGACCAGACCGTTTGCCTTTCCAAGTTTCCTAGTCCTGCTAAGAGTAAGCTTCTTCCTCGGTTTCCTTTTGGAAACGCCTCCTTCCAACAAGCAGTGGGATCCCGGGGCCCGGGGCGGGCCAGTGTTGCGTCTTGCTGAATGTTCCTGTTCCCCTGTCCCTCAGAGCCTTAAGGCCCCTTCCCAGCCCTGCCCTTTCCCCGCCACCACCTCAGTCCTGCCCTACCCTCCAGGTCCCAGGTAGTTGCTCTGAAGAGTTTCAGTAGAGTGGCCCCAGGGTGATAGCTCAGGGAACAAAAATGGAATTCAGTGAAAACATTTTTTTTTCTTTTATGGAATTACTCCTGGGTCACTTCCGCCACTGGTAAAGCCAGAACTTCTCCAACAAGAACCTTGCAAAAGTCCAGTGAATCAGTCGAATCATTCTATGGATGCCAAAGAATATTTTGACCATAATACAGCACAGCCTGGACCTGACAACTTGTCGCTTGGACTTTTTTTTAAATGGAGTTCTTTAGCAACAAAGTCTAGAAACATCGCCCGCACCCAAGGAAACAAGCCCAGGCTCTTGGAAGAGAATGCTTTTCTGCTGCTGAACTGTACCTGGGTATTGGATTTCAGAACCTGGGCTGGGCCCACTGTGAGCTTTCCTAAACTCCGAGACTTGCAGAGGGGAAAATGCAGTGAAACCAGCATGGAAAAATCTCTCTACCATCTGGTTCCCCTCACGCAAATACACAGAGCAAATAAGTGGGATGGGGACCATCCAACTCGGCTGGCACCCTCCCCCAACTCCAAAACTATCAAGGTACGACAGTGGCATTGTCATCGACACTCGATTTCATGTGAATTTGAGCAAAACAGGAAACCAAGATAATGACTAAGTTCAGAGAATTGGACAAATTTGTCTAGTCCGAGTGGACTCAGAGCGGGTAGGCTTCACGGCTTCTGGGCGTTGGGATGGCATGAGCTACCACGTAGAGTTTAGTCTGCCTGCCTGCCGCGGTAGTAGTGACCTGTGCGGTCCCAACCCGTCTCTGTTTACTGCCTTTGAACAGACCTTCTTCCTTCCCCCGCCTCAGGTCACCTCGGGTCTCCACCTTGTCTGTGCTGGATTGCCCGGTCTGACCCTGCAGGAAGCAAAAGGGTGAGCTTAAAGAACAACCAAACCCTGCAGGGGGTCGGGGGGCAGCCAAGTTCAGGGTCCAGCAGTCTCAGCACTGACCCTCTTACCCCTTTGAGCCATCCTGGGGCTGGGGCCGGGGCTGGGGCTGGCAGAGAATTAGCAGGAGAGAGCCGTGAGGCTTGCCCCGGGCGGGCTCAGCTCTGTAGCTGGGGCCTGGGCTGGGCAGGAGGGTGGGGTGGCCAGCGTTCTTCAGGAGCCTGTGCTCAGGTTGGCCTCCAGACCTGGCCCCTCTTCTCCATTGGCTGTTGCTTTGGACTGGACTGTCCTGGGGGCCTAAGTCCTGCAGAGCACAAATGTCTGCTGGGCTGGCTAGGGTCCCCTTCACTCCCTAGCCCTAAAGCAGTCTTCACCAAGCAGCTGCCTCCACCTCCAGGCTGTCCACTGGCCACAAGGAGGAGGACAATGATGGCAGTCCCCACCTGCCCAGCGTGGCCTTTTCCCCATCAGCCACAGCCCCTTCATGCTTTGCGGCCTATGTCCATGGTGTAGAGGGCTGTGCTACCCGGAGAGGAGTCAGGGCCTTTTTCCAGGCTGCGGGGTGGAGGCAGATCGCTCTCTGGACCACTCCCACCCACTCACTGCTCCCCTCAGGGAGGAAGAAGCTGCTCTGTAATGTCCTGGCTGTTGTCCCCCATTCTCGCCCATCCTGGCCGCTCACCACCCCATTCCCTCCCATCACATGACAGGATAATGTGCAAGGAAAGTATTTTTATGTATCATAAATGTATTTTGAGACAAATAAGGAAAAGAACGAATGCTCATGTATCTGGTTAAAGGAGCTCTGACTTGCTGACAGTGTGTGAGCATTTGCAAAGTAAGGGCCTCCTCTTCCTCGGAGAAGCCACCCAGGTTTCCAGACACAGTGTTGGGCTGTGGGGAGGGCTGGTGGTGTGTGCACCTGCCAGGGCACGTCTCGCGTGTCCTCACGCATGCACGTCTGTGAGTGGTGTGTGGACAACACTGGGAGTTGCTGGGGCAGTTCCTAGGAATCAAGCAGCCCCATTCTAACACGCACCCGCAGCAACTGGACTTGGCATTTCTTTGCTCACTGCCAGATGTGACCAACCTCTGCCCACGCCCAATGCTCTGCAGAGCGATCTGGATCCCTGTCGCAAGGCCCTTGGGGAGGCCACTCTCCCATGCCCCTGACCCGGCTGGCCACATTGGCCAAAGAGCCAGGGCTGGAGTCTGGGACTTCGGTTGTTCTTTAAGGCACTTCCTGCCACCTTCTCCTCAGATGCACAAACACTGTGCTCCATATTGGTGTGGGGGGCGGTGGGAGGGTGATATGAATGTCACAGGAGGAGACACCTTCTGTCTTTGTTTCAAAGAAAGTGATGTGCCATTTGTTAATATACAAGAGAAATATTGAAAATATATTGAAAAGAGCAATTTTAAATTATTTTTGGCTTATGTTGCAATATTTATTTTCTTGTATTAGAAGAGATTCCTTTGTAGAGAAAAAATGTATTTTTCATTAACGCAAAGACCTATTTCTCCTTTTTGTACATTGTCCATGTTCGCAACCCTTAACGAGCAATAGAATGTATGGTCGCCTCGGTGTGGCCAGTGCCCGCTGTGCCCTGCATGACTCTGTGTTGCCGCTGCTGCATAGCTCCTGGCCCCATCCTGTCCTGCTCACTCATGGGGCTTCCAGACCCCGGTCCCCTCAGGGCCTGTGTCTTAAAGAGCCCTTTGCACTCCTCGTGTGTTGGCAATCGCAGTTAATAAAGCAATGTTTTCTGTGCTGGCTGGTGTGAGGCTCCATTGCATTGGGTGGGGTAGGGGACCCTGGGGTGCTGTGCATACCCCCAACAGTCGATTCTGCAAAACAGCAAGAGTTCCCTGAGTTTCCCAAGGGACCTGCTGGTACCTCCTGGGGAACCAGGGTGGGTGGGCTCAGTCGGTATCACTTGATGCTCATGTGTTAAACCGTGGAGTTCAGGGGACGAGGGATATACCCAGTCGCACCTCTAGTAAGTAGTAAGGTTCCTCACCAGAGAAGGACCAGTCCAGGCTCAGTGGTGCCACGGCAGTGCCACTGCTTGGGAGGCTGGAAGCTGCATGGCAGTTCCGAGTTCATTTATGGACCAGCCTGAACATTCAGGTTGTGCATGCCTGAACCCCAGCTAATTGAGAAGCTGGGACAGGGGGATCTTGACACAGCAAGACCCTGTCAAAAACAGCTGTCTCTGGCCCAGTGCTCAATGCTCTGCAATGCCGAAAGCCAAGTGGGAGGTCAGGGCTGGGTTCCTGGATTGACTTAGACACACTGGGCGCATGTGCATGTGATCCTGGCTGGTGGGGAAGCTGGAGGGAGGATCTTGGCGTGAGGCCCTGTTTAGGTGCTTCTGTCTCAGAAAGAGAAGAGGAAAATAATAAAGGAAAAAGGAGAAACTTAAAACTTACCTGTTTCTCTCTCTCATGATAGAATAAGCTTAAAAAAAAATCTCTAGGGAGGCCAGCTTGTGGCCTGATGGTTAAAGAAGCTGGCTTCCATATGGCCAATCTTGCAGTTCAAGTCCTAGACCCAGCAGCTTGAAAAACACTCCAGATGGGACCTGCAGTTAGCATAATGGCTATGTCGCTGGACTCCCATGTAGTCAACCACAGTTCGAGTCCCGAACCCAGTGGCTTAAATTCACGCCGGGCGCATGTGCATGCGTGCCCAAGATCCCAAGAGGAGAATGGAGGAGAAGGGATTATGGCATGGCCATCCCCCCTGGGGGTGATTTCTCACTTTCTGTCTCTCTGTCTCTCTCTGTCTTTCTGGCAAGCACACACACCCTGTAGCAAAAAAAACTCTCAACAAAAACAAGAAAGAAAGAAAAGAAAGAAAAGAAAGAAAGAAAGAAAGAAAGAAAGAAAGAAAGAAAGAAAGAAAGAAAGAAAGAAAGAAAGAAAGAAAGAAAAGAAAAACATTCCTTGTGTGGGTACATTTGCACATTTGTGCTCCCAATCCCAACACAACAGGATGGAGAGATGGAGAAGGGATTGAGGCATAACCATGCCCCATTGCGGGGAGTGGGGGGGGGTAGGGGGTGCTTTCTCTCTTTCTGTTTCTCTCTGTGAACACATATACCCTCTAGCAATTAGAAAGCAATTAGAAAGCAAACAAAAAAACACCTCTGGTTATCTTCCCCTCTCACGAGGGAAGCCACCTGCTGAGGAAAGCTTGACAGGAGTAAAATTTAATTTAAAAAATTCTTTTTTTTTTTTTTTGGAGAGGTTTTTTCGCTATAGGGCGCGTGCGCTCGCCAGACAGACAGAGAGAGACATAGAGACAGAAAGCGAGAAATCACCCCCCAGGGGGGATGGTCACGCCGCAATCCCTTCTCCTCCATTCTCCTCTCGGGATCTTGGGCACGCACGCACACGCGCCCGGCGTGAGTTTTAAGCCACCGGGTCCGGGATGCGAACCACGGTCGACTACGTGGGAGTCCAGCGACATAGCCATTACGCTAACTGCTGGTTCCCTTAAATTTTTTTTAATTTATTTATTTATTGAGAGTTTTTTGCTTATAGGGTGCATGCGCTTGCCAGACAGAGACAGAGAGACAGAAAGCGAGAAATCACACCCCCAGGGGGGATGGCCACACCACAATCCCTTCTTCTCCATCCTCCTCTCGGGATCTTGGGCACACATGCACGCACATGTACCCAGCGTGAGTTTAAGCCACCAGGTCTGGGACTCAAACCGCAGGTGACTATATGGGAATCCAGCGACATAGCCATTATGCCAACTGCTGGTCCCGTACCATATGTTTTTTTCCTTTTATTTATTTATTTTTACATTTTTCCGCAGCTATATTTTTAAAAAGTAAAAACAGGTAAGTGCATTTCAGTGTGTTTTATTTAACCCTTCGTATCCAAAATGCTTGTAAGTAATACATATAATAACGACTAGTGAGGGGAGGTATTTCACATTCTTTTTGGAACTGGCTGCCACCAGCGTGTGTTTCCAGCACGTCTCCACCTGGAACTTCTCTGAGGCATGTCTCCCGTGCCCCAGAGCTACATGTGGCTAGTAACTACCACCTGTGGCAACACAGACCACGCGACCCGCAAACTTGCTGCCCCGCCCGAGGAGTGGCCGCGATTCACCCTGGCTCCTGTGGCCTGAGAGACAGACAGCCATAAGGACACACTTCCACAGGGCATGTGGGAGACAGAACAGCAGGACTGGCCCCACGTTCTCAGTCCAAGTCTATAAACCCTTTTTTTTTTAAAGAAATTTTTACCTTAGGGCGTGTGTGCTCACTGGGGGGTGGGGAAGAGACAGAGACAGGGAGACAGAAAGTAAAATTGCCCTCCAGAGATGGCCACATCAGAATCCCTTCTCCTCTGTTGTCCTCTCAGGATTTGGGGCACGCACACACAGGTGCCTGGCGTGAGTTTCAAGCCACCAGGTCCAGGACTCAAACAGTGGCCGACCATGTGGGAATCTAGCGACATAACAGCTATGCCATCGGCTGGCCTTACACACACCCCGCCCCCGTGTAAGTCCATACCACTAATTTAGGACAGGAGACTCACATCTAAGATGGCTGCTCCTAGGTCTTCTGCCTTGCAGTTGTCTCTGCTGTCCCCGCCTCCTGAGAGCCCCGAGGACGGGACAGTATAAATGTGGGGCTGACCTGGTCACGGCTCCCCCACTGTGGGTCAGTTCTCTTCCTGTCAAGACTTGCAGGGATCTGAAGGGAGGCCGGGGGTTCTGGTGGGGAAAGGAGTGCCACTCACCCACCCTTCCTATGCTCAGGTGTGCATTGCAGTCCCTGATGACACAGTAGTGACCACAGGTCCCTTCCAGAGAGACTAGGCCCGTGTGGGAGACAGACTTCAGTCAGACCCTCACTAGGACTGTGCTGTTGGTGGGAGGGTATAAACCTGGAGGAGAGGCACGTCTCCCCTGTCCCTTCTGAGGTCCCCTTTTTGCTGTGAACTTCTGCAAGATGGGCCTGGGGCGCCACCTGCTGCCCACTAGGCCCCAGGCCAGAGGCTGCAGTTCCAGGTCCCAAAGCCCACAAGGGCCTGGGCCAGTCCTGCGCTCCCAATGACTGGGCTCCAGCAGCTGTCTCCTCTGTCCTGCCTGAGCCTCTTAGACCAGGACCTCCGTCTCCACAGCCGTTGGCCAGCTCAGCCAGAGAACGGCCTTCCCTATCAGCCTTCAGGATGGGGGTAGGGTGGTGAAGGGACAAGAAGCCTCCTGGGAGAATAAGGCATTGGCTGAGGCCTGCTGGGTGCCAGCCCTGGCTGGAGTCAGGAGGCCGCGGAGCCCTGGGCCCTGACCTCCCTCAACTACCCAAGAAAAGAAGGCGGTCAACAGCATCTGGAGAGAAAGTACTCCATCCTTCCAGAGCTGGCCTCAGTCAGCCTCTCTTAGTACGACTCTATCCGGAGCGGCTAGGAGCCAGCAAAAGCACTTTGTGGGGAGAAAAAGGTCAGGACTCAGAGATGCCTCTGACCCGTACCGGGCAGTGCAGGTTGCTCGAAGTGGGCTGGCATCCACTTTCCCCTTCACAGGAAAGCCCTGGGTTTCAGCCTCACGTGGCTGGGCATTGAGGCCATCTAGAGAGCCAATTCCTTCATGCTGTCAAGGCTGAGGCCACAGCGACACCCACTCTTCATCCTCTGATGAGAGACACAGGCTTCATTATAACCATTTGTGGGGCCGGAGGGGTGTTGCCTGATAAAGAGATGATAAAATGTGGATTCTAGGGCAGCCTTTCGAAGTTCAGGTGGACTGCCTGCTAAAAGTCAAAGGGAAGGAGGAAGGGAGGGAGGCTCAGTCAACCAGATGGCTTACGGGGCAAGCTTACTGTGGCAGGGTGGGGCCTGCTACTGCGCTCCAAGCCAGGCCTGAGTTCAGAGCACACACACAAGTCATTCCGAGGGAGTCCTGGTTGCTGGCGGGAGCGGGAGACATGCAGTGAGTAGGAGGAAGGGTCGTCAGATGTCGCAAATAAAAACACAAGACACAGTTAAATTATAATTTTTGCCTCAGGGCTCATGGGCTCACCAGAGACAGAACAGAGAGAGAGGGAAAATGAGATATCGCCACCCGGCTTCCCATCCGGGGAGGATGGCCATGCCGCAATCCCTTCTCCATTCTCCTCTCGGGGTTTTGGGCAATGCACACATGTACCTGTGTGTGATTTTCAGGCTGCAAGTTCAAAACTCGAACCACTCGGTCGGCCATGCAAGCTCCAGCCGCCTTAACCTCTGCGCCGCCTGCTGGCCCAGGAGGCCCTTAGTACAGTCAAGTTCCTAGTATTGTATCCTGAGCTCACAGGATGGGAGCCGGGGGGCCTTGTGTCCTCTGCTACACTATGTCCCAGGCCGGGGACTGGTGCTAGTCAGTGATTTCTCACTGCTTTATAAACTGGAGCAGGTTCAAGACTACCCTGACAGCCCAACATATTCACCCCTACGGTGTGAGAACAGAAGGGGGCAGCAGCCAGTGACTCAGGGCATACAGAACTCAGCCTGCACCTGCCCGTCTGTGCCACAGCCTCTGTGTAGCTCACGTCCCAACCCAAGGCTGAATAGAGGTTCCAAAGTGCCTTTGAAGGGACCCTTCTTGGGACCGGCAGACGGCATAGCGTTACATCTCTGGACTCCCACATGGCCAACCACAGTTCAAGTTCCGGACCCAGTGGCTTGAAATTCATGTCAGGCACATGTGCATGTGTGCCCAAGATTCCAGGAGGAAGATGGAGGAGAAGGAATTGCAGCATGGCCATCCCCT